CTCGACAATATGAGTTCGTAGACATGCGGGAGAACAGGTCTAGAAACGAAAAGGACGTAAATGAAATTTTAAAATTTCTTATTGCTACAGTACCCGAACTCTTTTTATTTTTCTCTCCTTCTTCCTCCTCGAGGAGCTTCAACATTTTTCTTCTTCTTTGTTTTTCGACAGTCACTGTAGCAATAGTGATTGTTCGATTTCCAAGCCTCAAAATCGATGTTATCGTTCACTAGATGGCCACGCCACCTTCACGAAAAGTGTTCATCTCTCCCTCCTCTATAAAACCCACCTAAGATCCAATCTAATTGGCTAATGATGAGCTCGAATTGAAGCTAAGGAATGGTTAGGCTTTTCCGGCGATATTTTTGCATTTCTGGCGACTCCGGCCACGAAATCCGTCGAGCCAGGTATGAAACTTCATCTACTATTCGTGCTCTATCTATTTATGTAGGTATTAAAGATCGATTTTGAAGTTTTACAGAGTGTTCCATATACCCATATTATGCCGATGGTTTCGTATGTTAATCAGAGATCGACATGATTAACAACTTAGCTAAATAATTAAGTGCATGTCCATATTTAATACACATATTCAGTGGTTGAAAAGGAAGAATTATAGCTTTTGGTGATTTTGGGTATATATATATATATATATGGATACATATTTTAAGTTTAGTTGAGAACTAATTTATTGAAAGTTTATATAAATGATGGGTTATGGTTTTCAAACCCACCGAGAGGGTACCCCCCCAGTTTCCTTGAGACAGTTTGTTATTTTGATGATGCCCCATGAGTTCCGGGGACGCTTGAATTGTGTGGTGCCAGGTTGCGGGTCGGATTGAAGTATCTCCGAGACCTGCCAGTTTGCGGATCAGGCTGACTACGGTCTCCTGAATCCTACCAGTTTGTGGCTCGGGTTGACCTTGTGTCACCGAGACCTGCCAGGGGAATTGACAGAATATCAGGAATTGACGAATATCAGGAATTGACGGAAATAAAGGGGGTACGCCTAGGTGGAGAGGATTTAAGATATGAGATGTTTTTAACTAAATTGAGGATTTTATATAATTACCATTATTTTCTTGAGCATCACATTTGTTTTACAAGCGATAGATGGAAATATATATAGATTCTAATCAAGTTATTGATATATATAAATATATTTATTTATTTATGAATTTTACGTGAGTTCGATACAAGGGTGTTCGGAACTTATAAATCTTTAACTTATCTTATTTCATCTTATTATGTTCATTTATCTTTATCTTGCATTATTTTATATAGTATTAAATACCTGAAGTTTTTCCAGCATATTTTGCCTCATGAGTCCTAGAGTTATCCGGACCATGGGAGCGAGGATTGCGGACCAGGTTGACCAGATGTCTCCTGAGTCCAGCGAGGATTACAGGTCAGGACGTGTCACCATTGGTGTCACGAGGAATTGATGGTTATGGTTTTGCAAGCATGATTACTTGATATAAATGCTTTTATTCCTTCATTTAAATATAGATATTGCCATGTGAGTAATACTAGGAAGCTTGGAATAGGAAATGAGAACTAGAGTGGTTTTGCAAAGAAAGAACTACGTGTGGTTTAACCCCTCAGTAAGGGTTCGTAGGCAGCCTTTGGTTACAGGGTGCAGCCACGGGTTAGAATGGTTGAGATTGTCAATGTATTATTGTTGTTCTGGTAGTTGAGATGAATTTTATTAGCAAATTGATTTATTTGATTTGTTGCAGCCTAAGGCCAGAATGATATGATGCTTAATTTCTTTTGTATATAATTCGATACATGCTGGCAGTTGTGATATATATATATATATATATATTTAAACATATATACTTGTTTAACAAGTGGAATATTTTTTGGAAATGTTCAGTTTACAGGGGAAGACTCTGCCGAATTTTCGGTAGAAGTCGCATTTGAATTTAATTTAATTTCAGTTAAAAGGGCAATTTAGTTTTTTGTGCCCAGTATTAGCGAGGTGTCGAACACTCACAAGGTTCGGCTTGGATTCCAAAGTGGAATTTGAGTCGGGTCCTGTCAGTAATAACAGAATTTAGTAGCACTTAAGAGAACGAGGTAGACCAAAGGCAAACATTCCAAAAATAAAAATAAAAATTGAACTTTCAAGTTGATTTATTGTGAAATATCTCTCTTCAATATCTACTTTAGAGATGTCGAAACTATCAAATTAATATCTATAAATTAAAAGCAAATTACAAAGGTCAATTTTACAAAAAATAAATATTATAGCCGTGCGGCTATACTCCATACATAGGGTCTGGCTGCGCGGCTATACTACGTTTTTTATTATTAAAAATAGTATAGCCGACTGGCTATACCATTTTGACACGTGACAAAATAGGCGTAGGCTCCAGGCGGGTTCTGATACTCAGATTTTTTTATAATAAAATCAGTATAGCCGTGACACTTGGCAAAGCGGGCGCTACCGCCAGCCTTATTTTTTTTTCCTTTTTTTTTTAAATAGATATTAACGCTGGGCGGCTATACGAAATGTTTTTTTTTTTTTTTTATTTATAAAAACGGTGTAGCTGCACGGCTACACTATGAGTTTTCATTATAAAAACGTATAGCCGGATGGCTATACTAGGGATATATATATATATATATATATATATTTCAACTTTTCCATAGCTATTAGCCATATGAAGAATTTTGCATTTTCATGTTTAATACTCATATTGTACACGTACGTACGTATTTTTTTTTTTAATGTTTAATACACTTATTTTTTACAAAATTTTCAATTAAACACCCAAAATTCAAGTATTATACACAAAATTTGTGAGTATTTTTGAATAAAAATAATATATATTAAATAAATTAAATAAATCAAAAGAAAATATTATATAGTGGCCGAACTTATCGGTTGTAATTCGCCAAAATATTTCTGGATAAAACACCTACGTATTTTATTCATATTTCTCCCATTCCATGTTTTACGAATTGAAAGAATGTGAGAGACTAAGATTATTTTTTACTTGTTATAACAAAATGCAAGATGGTGGTTTTTGGAAACTCTTTGCCAACCATAACAATAATTTCAAACAAAGATTTACGGGAATAGTAGTAAGCGAGTTGATAGTATTCTTTAGGCTTAATTATGTACATGCCCCCTGTACTTTTCAACTTATCTCAGATTACCATATGTGTTTGCAAACGGCTCAAAGTACCCCCCAACGTTTAAAAAACTGTCTCACGTTACCCTTTCCGTCAGTTTTTTTGAAGTTCCATTACGAACGTTACTATTCATCCCCCAAAAATTCCAGAACAGCAGCCCATCCCCTTTGTTACTGTTCATCGCTTATTTACCCTCCAAAACTCAGAAATTTCTCATAACCAACACAACTAGCAGCAAGAACAGCTCAAGAGGTTGAAAAATCATACCTGGATCGAAGCAAATGGTGCTCGAAATCGCCCGAACGAGCGATGGAGATTTTGGGTAAAAATCGGCCAATTTCTTGCTTTTTTCGGCCATCCAGACTGCGGTTGGTAGCGGATGAGATGTGAGGGTGGTAGAGGACAACGTGCTGGTTCTTTTGATACCCATATTGTGGCTTGGGGTGGCCGGAGGAGGAGATGGCAGCCTAAAAAATGGTCGGATGAACAGTAACAAAGGGGATAGGTTGCTGTTATGGAATTTGGGGGGGGGGATGAACAATAACGTTCGTAACGGAACTTCAAAAAAACTGACGGAAAGGGTAACGTGAGACGGTTTTTTAAACGTTGGGGGGGGGTAATTTAAGCCGTTTGTAAACACATGTGGTAATCTGAGATAAGTTGGAAAGTATATGGGGCATGTACATAATTAAGCCTATTCTTTATGTAAAATGTTGTTTGAAATGTGAAGCAATTACCAAGAACATTCCAACTCAGCATGCAATTCTTTACAACAAATAATGTGTGCAATAACAAAATTTAGTAGCACTCCAGAGAACGAGGTATACCAAAGGCAAATATTCTCCCAAAAAAAGAAGAAATTGATTTACTGTGACATTCCTCTCTCTTCAATATTTACTTTGGAGATGTCGAAACTATCAAATTAATATTTATAAATTATAAACTAATGCAACTAGAAGGGTCATCTTTTATTATTATTTATTAATAAATAGTATAGCCGTGCGGCTATACTCCTATTAAATATAATATGCTAAGAGAGTATAGCTGTCCGGCTATACTAAGGTTTTTATTAAAAAATAGTATAGCCGTACGGCTATACTAGGGATAATAGTTTCACTAAAACACCCAAAATAGAGGTTGAAATTATAAAAAAACCCAACACCCAAAACACTTTATAAACACACCCAAAACCCATCATTATACACACTCAAAACCCATTTATAAACACACCCAAAAAGTTGACTTTGGGTGTGTTTCTATGTTTAAATAGTGCTTGAGTTTTTTTATAAATACATGTCTAGGATTGGGTTTATTTATAAATTTGTATATTTTTTTATATAAAAATAGAGTATAGCCGCGTGGCGGTACTGGGGTCTTTTTATATATATAAATATTCTTTATAAATAGTATAGCGGAGTGGCTATACTCTTTTGTTCTCAAATGCAAAGTCGCTCAATTACAATGAAGAAATGAGAAGACGAAATTTGGGTTTAATATGCAAAGTTGCTTAAGTTTTCCATAATTGTTAGGAAGGGATCAATATCCTTTTTTATTTTGAATATTGATTAATTAATTTTTGTTAATTTTGATTTTTAATTTGGCCCAATTAGATGCAGCCACGTGCCTTATTTTTTTTGTCAGGGAGGGGTTTGGGCAGGAATACAATAAGTGGTCGAAAATGCCCCTTAGTTGACATCGAAAGCATCGAACTCGTGGGACCCACATATAACACGCAAGCAATTAACGGTGATATTGATAGTGACGTTAATGCTGAAGCCCAATTGAAACAAATTAGAAAGATAAGGATACGAAATTATTAAAATTGAGAGTATAGGGACTAACATGTCTTATCTGAAGTATTGGACTCGGAAAAGCAGCCAGCGATACCCTACGGTCTACGGAATCCACACCCACACCACACATAAACAAACCGTGCAACAGTGAAGCACTAAAAGTTTCGCTTTGCTCAACTCAGTCAACAAAACTAGAGCGATAGCAAAACCAAAGAAAAATGGGCTCTGCTTCTCTGATCAATCCGTTGACATCCTCGCTCTGCATCCCAAAATCAGAGCTCACAGCTCCCAAACAGCTATGGGTGGTGGGGGTGGGCCCCGCCACCACCACGTCTTTGAGCGTAAGGTCCAACAACAAGAGCAACAGCAAGAGCATGCGCCAGATAGGGAAGCCTTCTTCAGTTTCCTCTGTGGTGTGCAAGGCTGTTTCTGTGACGCCACAGACCGCTGTTGAGGGTCTCAACATTGCTGAAGATGTCACTCAGGTAAATACCATTTTGACTTTGTCTCTGAGAAATACGAATTGGGTTGGGTTTCTTCGTTTGATTTGAAGATGAATATGGTTCTAGATCTACAAGTTTGATTAATTTAAGCTGCTTAGGTACATGGACATTGGTAGATTCGTTTAATTTGTATTGATGTTGTTGGTCGATTGTTATGGAGTTGTGATTGATTCTTCTTTTAATTGTATGGAAATTTATTTTCAATGTGTACTGAAGATGCAATATTAAGTCCTTTTTTTATATAAAATTTCCTTTTTAAATGATCCAGATTATGAACTTTTTTTTTTTTTTGGGTTGAAACTATATATAGCTAGACTAAATTTTATAACATTAGTAGCTCAGAATAAGGAAGCTAGGAGTGTCCACTTTATTTAACTGGTTTTATTATGTTTTTTTGTGGTGCTCTATTTGATGCTTGTGTGGTCAACTGTTACTGTTGAATATGCTTGGGGTTAGATTTATTGGTGGAGAAAATACAAGAGAACGATGTATTTGATGACTTCAAGTCACTCTTATGGTGAATTATATATTTACCATTTAACAAGAAAACTTGACCTTTTCTAAGACATTTTGAGAGGAAGCGATAAGTATCTTCGCACTTTTGTTTTGTTTTGGTTTTTTTTTTTTTCCGTGTACTTGATATTGTGAATTCTAGTGCTCTCAGTTTGATACAGATGGCCAACAATTGTATCTGTCCTATTTTGTTTTTGTTTTTTTTAATTCTTTTGATGCACCGGTTAGGCGGCACAATTTTGTAAACTTTAAACAAATTTATAAAGATATATGAAGCAGGTTATCTTAAGTGAATCCAAGTTATTGGTAATTGTCTATATCAAGATCTTTCTGGGAGACTGGGACTTGTGTGATCACACAATATAAAAAGAAGGATGAATTCTACATAACTTTGAATCAGTTTTGCACTATTTTATGTAGGTATCTATATTTCCTGATAACATTATAAAATTATCTTTAAAGCACCAAAGGGGTGCTACCCATTTCCATTACTTTAATTTCAATGCCATTAGGTGTTACTTGGTCAGCAAATAAATAGTTTTCTCATACTATAAATGGACACTATTGAGTTGTTTATTTAATCAGAAATTCCTTAAAATTATGACATTGAGAAATTAAATTAATAGGAGATAAAAAATATTTGTTTCTACCTCGAGGATGAAAGTTAAAGAATTATAGTCTAAAATTTGAAAAGTGAGCAGTTATTGTCATTAGGCTACGTTTGTGTTTTTCTTTTGGTGATTGTGGCCAAAAGGCCTACACAAAAACGACAAAACAGCTAAACAAGATCTAGCACTCCAAACATGTCATCTCGTAAGAGATGCACCCAACAATCAGGATCAAAAGTGAAAACTGAGAAGCATAAGTAAAGAAAGTCTGAACCTAGCCATCAGCCTCATTCCTTTCATGATAAACATGATTGAGACGGCAAACTTCGTGTTTTTATTGAATAAAGGATGGCTGTATTTGACCCCAACTTGTCCATAAGTTAACTGAGCTTAATATCTACACCCAACTCTCTTCAAAGAAAAATCTAATTATTTGCAAGTGTAAACCACATTCCAAAATTACACTCACTAGAACCCAAATTGAATTACATATTGAATATTGTAAGTAAACTCAAACTTTATCCACAGTCACACCCACCTAATGTAAAAAACTGAACATAAGACTACTAAATCACTGGAAGCATCCATGAAGTTCTCCACTGAAATTGAAGCATCCACTCTATTGGGCTTTTCAATCTTTTTTTTAAATATTTGAAAAGAGAATTATCATAAGGACCGAATTTGAGTGTTGTTAGGTTTAGGGCTTCAAAAGTTGTTTAATTTTAGCAATGATTTTGAGTATGTTTAAGGTATCTGGAAGGAAGAAGATGAGTGATGGTGGATTATAGACGAAAGTATGAGTGGGTAGACTCATGAAGCTGGATGTGATTTATTGTTTGTATTCTAATTCAATTTGTCCTTTTCTTTACTTTATTCAAGAGTAAAATTGGAAGTACAATATTCATTAGACACTTAAGTTAACTTAAGTGGTTTATTTTTGTTGTTATCCGGAAGTTCTGGAATAATTGAAAGTCAGAGTGTTGTAGTGTACCTGCGTGGAAATTTATGATTATTTCTTTTTATAATCAAATGCTACATTGTATAACTTTCATTAAGATTGACTTATATAGCAAAATTGGAGTTCATTGAACTGTAGATGCTGGGAAAATTAAACTGTATTTATCTACGTGATTATGTCGTTTTGAATTACTTTGTTGCGGGAGTAGAATAACTTTAATCATTTTATGAGATCCTTCAAGTTGCTTTTTGTACTGAAAGTCTATGTTTTCAAAAGCAGATTTTAATATTTATAGTATACTAAAGAAATTATATTCTCACCTTTATGGGGCCTATTCCAAATCTACCCTACAAATTAATTTGAATTTTTTTGGTTTTTATGTTGTACAAAACCACACATCTGATTTTTCTGTATTTTCTATCAGGATTCAAAATAAAGCCTGCCATTTTTTTTTATGCCTGATTTCGTATAAAAAAAAAGTAGCTAAGACGGAAGAAAATCTTTGACGCTGTGTTGAGTACTTAAAATATAGTCAAATTTGGTTGAGTTGAAATGTTGTTCTAAGTAATGGTGCTATCCCCTCTGTTACCTAGTGATGTAGTATTAAACTTGCCATTTTCTGTTCCGTAGTACCAGTAACTAGAAACCATGTGACCGAGACATTTGCGACTTTTTTTTCTTTGATAAACTTGAAGTGCATAGGTTTCTTGTTAATTCATATGTTACACTGGCAACTTTGGTGATGCAGCTTATTGGAAAAACACCGATGGTGTACCTGAATAACATCGTAAAGGGGTCTGTTGCAAACATTGCTGCAAAGCTTGAGATTATGGAGCCATGTTGCAGTGTCAAGGACAGGTGAGGAGGCAATGACTACAATTCTGTGTATTATTTGTATTGTTTTACATGGTTTAGAAACATTAAGATCAGACTGAAGTGAGAGGAAAAAAAAAAACCCTAACCTATACAATAAGAATAGAATAGGAATTAAATGAACTTAGGTATGCTGTTTCGAGACGCTGTCTAACAAGGATGATTCAATATACTTGCCTGCCATAGATAACTGTACGTTAATATGTTTATCAGCTCAAAAAGTAACTACGGACCCCACATCTTGTATTTTAGGTTTAGGATAATGATGTTTGTATGAGGATTATATAATTGCAAATGTCTCGTTATATTATGGTATTATCTCTATTTGTTTTCTCAGTACTGTAGACATAGAATGTCAATAATAAATGTTTAATATCACTGTTAATGTTTCTGGTATTCATCTTCAGGATAGGGTACAGTATGATAATCGATGCTGAGCAAAGAGGACTTATAAAGCCTGGACAGGTAACTGATTATGGATATTACTCAACATACTGTATTATTAGCATGAATGCCTGGTCAAATGTGATGCCTAAAGCCAAGGGTGGAGCCCAAATATTACTTGACATGGGGCAGCTCAGACTATAGAAGGAAAGCTTGAAACTCATAATATATATAGAGGCGTGCGACTGTGTATATGGGGTCTAAAATTGAAAGGGGATAGGCTAGAATATGGAAAATAAAATGGAAATCAATTGGATTAGGGAATGCTGCTGGAATAGTGATTCTTTAAGGGTATATAAGTTAGAATATCTTTCAAACATCACTTATTGTTCTTCCACACACACAACCCAAAAAAAAAAAAAAAAAAAAAGAGCCGGGGCATCTGCCCCTTCTGGACCCCCTGTGCCTGAAGTTATGACTCTCCGACCAGGCATTAGATTTTTTTGGATCAGATGCCAATTCAAACTAGGGTTCCTGTCGCGGAGGAGTAATTCTTAGAGATCCCTATATCTTACTTCAAAATTGTGACGATGGCTGCCATTTGGTTTGGTGACAACCAAACAGACCGATTATCAACTGAATTTATTTTTGGTATGGTAACCGATTTTCACAATCTGAAAATTGAAAAACCCAAAATCATAAAATATCGAAATAGTTGGTTTGATTTTGGTAAATACTGAAAATGACCAATCGACCAACTACTGATTAATTTTTTTGAATTGGTTATTACCAAAATATATCAAAGAACTTGTGGAAATGTTTAGGTCACTAATAGTAACCTTACAATTTTAGTTAATGTGTACGTGTCTGTACATGTATATCAGCAGGTTTTATATTAGATGAAAAACTACTGATACCGAAAACTACCAAAACTGCACATTACCAAAGTTTTTGGATTTTGGTTTGGTAAAAGACCCTTTACCAATTCTAACTGACCAAATGGCTTGTGATACTGGATGTCCCAGCCGCATGTATTGTGCTATATTTACCACCTGCAATCGGATGTGTTTTAGAATTGGCTACATGTTGCATTGTCATGCCTCTCTGGGTTTGTGTTGAACTCATAACAAATTGTGGATATTATGCAGCAATGGCCTTTCCCATAATTTGGTCTTGGCTGTTTAAATCTTGAACCTTACACTTGTTTTAATTATTAATTCGCACTATGACTGTCTCTCATGTTGTCATTTGGAAACAAGGTGAATGATTCATATGTCTGGATTATTTGTGGTTCTGGTTCATGTAAAACCAGCCATGCCTAAGAAGCTTAATTTTGTTTCTTGTTTTAGCTTTCTGTACACATTGACTTAGTTTCTTTCTCATTTATTTTTAGAGTGTTCTGGTGGAACCCACTAGTGGAAACACAGGCATTGGGCTTGCATTTATTGCTGCCACTAAAGGATATAAACTCATCTTGACAATGCCAGCTTCAATGAGTTTGGAGAGAAGGGTTCTTCTAAAGGCATTTGGAGCTGAGCTTGTTTTGACTGATTCAGCAAAGGGAATGAAGGGAGCAGTTCAGAAAGCTGAAGAAATATTCAAAAGCACACCCAATGCATACATGCTTCAACAGTTTGACAATCCTGCTAATCCTAAGGTATCTTGGCTTCCTATTCTCACTTTGTTGAACAATTGGCTCCTTTAGCAGCTAGGCTGTTCAGCCACATGTTACATTATTTTGAGGCTAATTGCTTAGTGCTTCCTAAAACTACAGTATTACATTGCCCCTGGTAAGTCAAAGTAACCCACGTTGCCCCCTGGTAAGTTAAAGAAACCCACCTTGCCCCCTTGATCGATTTTTGTGTCTCACCTTGTTCCTTATCAAGTCCGCCAAAAAATTAGTTAAAAATGCTAACGTGGCATGACTGGGACCCACAACTTTGCTGAAATGTATGCCACGTAAATGCCATGTGTTTATGAATTGAACTATTAAAAATAATATTTTAAAATAAATCAATCCACTGCAATGTAAATTGAGCGTGTGTATTGGTAGTCTAAATCGAGCAACAAAAACAAGGTCACACCAACATTGGGGTGGTGGTGGGAATCGGGTTGAGAGAGGGGATTTCACAATTTGGGGAGGAAGGGAGGAGAGTGGGGTGTCGGGGGTACAGCGGGGTAGGTGGGTAATGGGGAGGGGAAGAAGGGGATTGGGGATTTTTAAAAATATTTTAAAACATTAATTTTAGTAATCAATTTTTTTAAAAGAAAATATTCTATTATTTAATTGCACACTTGACACTTACGTGGAATACATTTCAGCAAAACAGTGGGTACTGTTTCTGTCATGTTGACATTTTGAACAGATTTTTTGACGGACCTGATGATGGAGAACAATGTGAGATGCAAAACATCTGTCAAGGGTAGAAGGTGGATCACTTTGACTTCCAGGAGGCAATGCATGATTTGACCATACTTTGAGGGTGCACTAGAGCAATTAAGCCTTTAATTAACTACCATGTCTCAATGTTTTTTTTTCCCTTTTTTTAATTGTCATATGCCGGCCCAAAACACTAGAAGTCATGTCAGCCATGTACTCTTGGGAGGGGTTTAGAGTGTCCACAGTGATGGTGGAAATGGTGCTTATATCTTGTGCAAAGAAATATTTCTACTGTGCTGTGCTTCACATATGTATACTGAAAAGCCCACAGCCCAAAGTAGTCATCGATCAATATATTCCAGAGTAGTACATTGCTTCTCAAAAACAAAAAGAACTATATGTGCATGAGCTTGACCTTGGAAAGCAAATGAAGTTAATGAATTAGATACTAGTCAACTCAAATCCAAGAGATATTTTACCTTGGCTGATTATTTTTCTTCTTCAGTCGGTTTTGATCATGTGCTTCAAAGCTTGCTGTAAATGATTAGTTTGGTTTTACATGGAGTCTATAAAGCATTTGAGTTTGACCTTCATCACCTTACCATTAGGATACCAAATTGTCATAGGGATCCTCTTTGTAGTTATAGCATAATACCATTATGGCTTCCAATACGGTTAGATGTGTATAAATTCATTATATGTTCTGTATGCAGATACACTATGAGACAACTGGTCCAGAGATCTGGGAAGATACAAGAGGCAAAGTGGATATATTTATTGGAGGAATTGGAACTGGTGGAACCATTTCTGGGGTAGGACAATTCCTTAAAGAGAAAAATCCTAGAATAAAGGTATGCTGTTTTTCTGATTCATAATTTCCAAACTGTATATGCAAAAGTGCTGACCAGCCTGAATCTGATAGCCTTGCCTTGACTGTGTCAATTAGAGGGCAAATTTAATTTGACGTAGATCCTGGTATATCTGTGTAATGGGTGGAGGGTGAATTATTTTCAAAGAGAATTTCTCTTCTTTTGTGTTTTATTTATTTATTTATAATTTTCCTCCCTGCCTTTCTTTTGTTATCCTTTCTCTTCTTGTTTTGGTTCCCATTTGAGTGACATCATCTGATCATTAAAGTAACAGATTATTGGTGTAGAACCCTCGGAAAGCAACATCCTTTCAGGTGGAAAGCCCGGTAAGATAGAGGACCAGCCTTCTAATGAGTTTAGTGTGCAGTGTTTTTAAAAAATTTCTCATTTATTACTTATTTTCATGTTCATTTACTTTTCATTTTTTAAAATACAGGTCCCCACAAGATTCAAGGGATTGGAGCTGGATTTATACCTAGAAATTTGCACCAGGATGTTGTCGATGAAATTATAGAGGTCTAATCTTATTCCAATTTAATCTATTCAATTTTTTTTTTTTTTTTGGGTATGTCTGTTTCTCTCTCTGTATACTTGAAATAAGTTTTAAAATGTTATTGTATCAAAGCTTACTTTATAAGTTAATAAGATAGAATTGTGCTTTTCTGCAGTATAAATCATGGTTCCTTTCTTCCAAAAAAAATAAAGAAATAAAAATATCAGGGTTCCTTTCTAATTTATCCTGTCAAATGTTAATTTTCTAGTCATTCATCTATGTATCGTTAATCACATAAGGTCCTTGTGAAGTTGGTTTTTAGTTTAGTTCTCACAGATTGTGATTTTGGCAGATCTCAAGTGATGAAGCTGTTGAAACTGCGAAGCAATTAGCACTCCAGGAAGGCTTGTTGGTATGCGTTTTTAGTCCTTGTTTTAGGGATTAATCACTTAACATGGGAGATCATAAGCGATGAACTATGATTGACATACCTATGTTTTGGCTAGTCATTGTCAGTTTACCTGTGATGAAAGAGAATAATCATAAGTGTTCAAGAATGGTTCGATATTCAAAATATCTCTTTGTTTGGAAAGGAAGAATTCAGTTTTCTCATGGAGTCTTTGGTGATGACGATCAAGACTCGAGGACGAGTCTTTTCCAACCAGAGGAGTTTGATGCAGGAGCATCTACAAGGCTCTCTAAAAGTACTTGGGTCCGTTTGTCAATTGGGCTAGGGTTCTAGTTTCTTTAACAGCAGCATTAGATACCCATCCTTTAATGAAAGGGTTCCTAAAAGCAAATTAAATAAAACAGTGCACTTCATTCAAAGGAGGCCATCTCTGTATATTTCATTATAAGGAGGCCAGCCCCTATTGTTTATCTATCCAAAAACTTTCAAAAGAAAAAGTTCGGGCGCACATCTTCTTCTTCTTCACATCTATAACAGCAAAAGTGCTGACTCGCACAACCTAGAAACTGACTTGTGCGTGATTTTTTCATTCCAACCAATATGATTTCAACAATATTTTGCTGATATTTCGATACGGGATGAAGAAATAATCTTCCCCCCCTCTTCCATTTCGATCCCCCTTTTTTGACATTTTGACCAATAATATCAGAAATTTCGACGATTTTTCTACGGTTGCTGCATATGGAGTAATGTTCTCTTGCCATACTGGTGTATCCAGACTATGAATCTAGACCACATTCCAGACTATATTTATGTATATGTTTTTATATTAAATTCTTTAGTTTACTGGTTTAATTTTTAACTTCGTATCATATCAGGTTGGTATTTCTTCTGGGGCTGCTGCTGCTGCTGCTCTCAAGGTTGGTAAGAGACCTGAAAATGCAGGGAAGCTTATCACGGTATATCATCTCTCTATTTTTCTGTGTAAAAATTATTTCTGTATGAAATTGATGGAACTTACGCATTGTGAGTTGAGCTGCAGCATTAATTGGTATGCCCTGAGAGAAAGAGGGAATGGGGAGTAGAAAACATAGAAGATGTAGGCTTTAAAATTTAATGGATGATCAGAGGAAGAGGTCCAAAAATTGTAAAAATCCTTGTAAATGGGCTTTTTGGTTTTAGGGTTGGGACTAAGAAAATGCAGACGTTTGTGCTAGCATTGTTACTTGTGAAAACTTGATTTGACTGGGAGAAAAAGAATGAAAGAAGAGACGGCATCGTTGGATACTTATTTCCTAAATCTTGGGGTGGGACTAAGAAAATCTAAACACCTTTGTGTTTAGAATCTTTTCATGTGAGATGGCTTGATTTGACTGGGGAATAAGAATGAAAAAGAGATGGTTTCACTGGATGCATATTTCCTACACTTGTTGCTGGGTCTGATATCCATCTTAACTTTCCATGTACAAGAGTCTGTGGGATTGATCTTCATTCTTAACTAGGGCATTCCCAACGGATTTAATTTGATTATGCACATTCTGATATTACTTTTACAAGTCTGGTAAAAGTAATAAAAGTCACTCCATCATTTTGCATATTGAGTAGTGCTCTATGGACTTGCAAGATAAAATCCGGACCATTAAATTGAGGCATCCTAGTCATGTTCTGAATTTTCACACAATCACTGTTTTCTTGGGCTGTTTTCTGTATGATCTCTGTAGGGCATGCGCTTTATATAATTACCTCAAAACTCTATTCCTTTCAATTCTTCTTGAATCAATTCATTTCAGAATTTGATTGCTTACAGGTAGTGTTTCCAAGTTTTGGTGAACGATATCTCTCCACCATACTTTTCCAGTCAATCAGAGAAGAATGTGAGAAAATGCAACCCGAACCATGAAGTTCCTTTGTTCGAGCAAAATTTAGACAGTTACGCAAATTTTTTATTCTGAAACTCTCATTCATAATATCCCGTTCACACATGAATTCTTTATCTAGAATTTCTTCTGTATTACTAAGAGAGGATCACGGTATAAAATTCTCCACCGGTGCTGCTGTTGGAATTTTTATTATTATTTAATAATATTTAATTTCTATAGTGAATGAAAAATAAGTTTCTCCAACTGTTCGGTTTCCTTAGATTTGTGTCTGTTGCTGTTCAACATGCACAAGGATGCAAAGGTTGTATCTCTTGAACTTATACTAATTCATAGATACGTTGTTTTATCAGGGGTGCATTGAGTTTAATATAAATCAAGCACCCTTCATCAACTTGAGATATCCTCAGGCTGGAGAGAGTTCTTTCCGGGAAAAATAGAGCATCCCCTAGTACTCTATTTTATGTTTGTTAAATTCTTTTGAGTTTTGTTGAGAGTACAAATATATAATTAGTTTGCAAGAGTCTTAAATTGAAGTGCTTCAATTTAGGATTATTGATTGTTGAATCTTGGGAGGTGGATGCCAATAAAAACTGCAAGGGTTGGGGTGAAATCTGTTTTTAGGACATTGCAATTCTTGCAGGCCTCATTTGCCGAAGTTGTCAGTATTTCTATTTGTGTTTGTTGATTTACATTAATTTCATGTAAATTTGTTATTGTATTTGATGATTACAATTTTGTTGAGAATTATTAATCTAAATTCATATTTTCTATTGTTTCGCCTACTGCAGCTCTTTGACATAAAAATTTGGGAGACTTTGGAAAAACACAAAGGAGAGAGAAATTTTGTAAAAGAAGCCAAAATGGACAAAATTACCCTTATTTATTTTTGGATTTCCTAAGGAATCCTTTACATTTGCATGTCTTTGATTTGAAAGTTGAGAGGTTTTTCTGTCTTTTTTGAAAAAGCTTTGGTTTTTTCCAAAAGTGAATTTTTTTTTTTTTTTTGACTAAAACCTAAATTTACTTAAATTTTTTAAGAGAATTACCATGTGAGTGGATTTTCTGGTGTTTGATATTTTTGTCCCAAAAGCGAGTTTAGCTACTGATTCAACAGTCTTGGTTCTTGTTAAGTGGCAATGAATTGGGGTACCCGTGGTGGTTGCAATATCCATATATATAGGCAGGGGCAGGGAATGGTAAAATATTCAAAATATTAAAAAATGCCCTTAGTCTCAATGATGTGGCATGTGCCATATCATATATATTTACTTGATAAATTCCAATTTGGATTATTATTCTATTTATTTATTTCATGCAGAAAATGAAAAAACTTAAACTTAATTTATAAAACCCTGTAGTTTTTCTTCCTGAAAAAAAACCCACTGCTAGCCCTAAACCATCAATATGACATAATATCCTTCCCACCATGTTTGCTGCTCTTTCTTCTCCTTCTCCCCTCTTGTTTTTAATTTAATTTAATTTTTTCTTCATCTAAGTTCTTCTGGGTTTTCTACGATTGTGCTACTTTCTAAGAGAAAATAAAAATAGAAAAATATGAGGGAAAAAGGAGAAACATGATGGGAAGGATATATGACAGCAAATTCATGGAGTCACAACTGAATCGAATTCCGTTTTAAAAGTCTCAAATTCATATCCTTATTTCCAAGATGATGATGATGATGATAAAAGTCTGAAATTTTGATCCTTGTTTCCAAGATGATTATAATAATCAGAGCCAAACAATGGTACAACGACAAGCTAATTGTTTAGGGTTGCAGTGATTTTTAGGGATTTATGTAGAAATGTCACCTGAACTTATACATCAGTTTCAATTTTTCACCTTAAAGAAAAATTTAAGAGAAATGTCACCTAAATTTTTCAAAATCCATGATTTGTATCTGAGTTTAACACCATCCAATTTTCTATCCATTTAAGGATATTTTAGTCTTCTCATTTTCAAAGGTGATTTTAAAATGGAAAAATCATTATAAAAAAATTATATAAATCAAGGGTCTTTCCTACCAAACATTAAAAAAAATGAAAAAAGAACATGAAAATTGCATTTTTTTTTTCATCCCCCTCTACCATCTCTCTCTACAAAAGACCCCCAAACTATATGGTCATTTTCAAGTTCGTACCCAATTTTAGGGACATTTACAAATACATACTCAAACTCCCGGAAACCTTACAAATTGCCCCCACCGTTACACAAACCGTTAATGAATTTGTTAAATGCCGATGTGGCAAATGTGAGCCCCTATTTTTGATGATGTGGACTTCATGTGGACATAATATATAATAAACAAATCTTTATTTGAAAATAGTTTTAAAAATGTTACGGTATGACCAATTCAACTAATAATAAAGAGTTTGTGGACCATTTGAACTAATAATTTAGTTTAGGGACCAAAATACAACTCGGATATAAATTTGAGGATCATTTAAGGGCTTCATGTAGGTTTTTCGAGAGAGCAAACTATTTCTTTTAATATTTTTTTTATTTTAATTTTTACTTAAATTTTCAGTAGAATTGAAAGCGGGGTGGTCGGAAGTTAAAATTATACAAATTTATAAATAAACTCAATCCTAGACATATATTTATAAAAAAAACTCAAACACTATTTAAACATAGAAATACACCCAAAATCAACTCTAAAGTCAACAATTGTATATTTTTTGGGTGTGTTTATAAATGGGTTTTGAGTGTGTGTAATGATGGGTTTTGGGTGTGTTTATAAAGTGTTTTAGGTGTTGGGTTTTTTTTTATAATTTCAGCTTCTATTTTGAGTGTTTTAGTGAAACTCCCTTAAAATTAATAGCCCAAGATTTTACTGGTAATTTCTTGGTTTCCCACTATCCTTTGTTTTTTACGATAAAAATAATATCTTTGTTTTTTACGATAAAAATAATATCTTTGTTTTTTGTCTTTATTATTATTATTATTGGGGGTAAGAGTCACGTGTAAGGTGAGGCAGGTGGAAACCAAGTTTAACAAAGACTCAACTATTACTTGCAGCCTCAAGCCTCAACCATTGATCGGAGAGTTTGATGACGTTAAGCAACTGAATCGTTTTGTATTATTATTATTTTTATTTATTTATCAAAAGCAATTAAGTCGTTCGACAAATCTTAAATAATGCTAGCT